TTTCCATTTAATGCCACTGTTTGATATAAAACAGCCTCTGAGTTCTCAGAAAGGACATATTCTTGTTTTAAAATCATAAAAACAGACCCACTTTGGCAGTAGTACCTCAAGTGTGATTCTGATCTGCAGAACGACTTCTTAAAATGGCTCCTTTGTATTTCCAGCTCTGGTTTCCATGCATGTATTGTAAGGGATTTTTTTTAATATACATATATTATATATAATTATATATGTTTTGTAACTATTTTTCCCATTTCATCATTGTTAGAATAAGTATGAGAATATGAGAGCTGGACTTTACTCCGCATTATCAAGTAAATTGTTCCCTTTTATACTTCTGTAGTCTACAATATCCCTATTAGCAAAAGTGACACCCAGCCAAACAAAACCGATTTAGATTTCCACAGTTCTTCAGGACTGCATCAGGAAAACTATGTTTGAAAACTGTATTACGTAAATCATTTGGGCACAGACCTGAAACATCTCAAGATGCCATTTTCATAGTCTATTTACAGAGCAGAACTACCTTTTTCCAGATTACAAATGTGTTTTCTTTTGCCAACCAGTCCTTGAAAGCAAGGGACAGAAAACAAGGGGCTCTTGTACATCTCAATTTTTCTGGGAATTCATGGCTGCCACAAGCCATAGGTAACTGCGTGCAATGCCATGCCCTAAAAAGGCTGATGGAAGCAACAAGGACATTATCATTAGCTCTACACCATGTCCTCGACACTGGGGTCAGGGGTCTAACATGAGCAGCAGTGAGAGTCAGACAGCTCCACCCTACTTCCCATTCAAACAAGCAGAGGTCACAATAAGAAAATGCATCCTTGTAATCTTTCCAGATAGAATCTTTGCCAACGTAGGTCAGGTTTTTAAGTCAACAACCGTAATAGAGTCCCGTTAATCTGACATTTGTCTTTCACTTGAAAACTGAAATTCCAGATATGACAAAAACCACCTGACGCCTAAATATTCCTGTAAATGAGGCATTTTCAGCTTACGAATTTTTCAGTACGGTCCATGACAAAATTAAGCAACGTAATTCTGTGTAAAAATCATCCCTACTAGTGAGCCCACATAACTGCTTGTTTATTAAGTGTTAGTAAGATGCCACGCTTTATTGAGTTCATGTTGACAGACAGGAGTGTTTGAGAAAGTACCTTCAGTCCAAGCCAGTAAGCCCAAATGACTGCAACAGCATGCTTACGCCTAGCCTCCTCCTTCAAGCGTTTCAATTCCCTTCGAGCCTAAAAGGTTTAGATAGTGAACAAAAGACAGCCCGATGCAGATAGCACAACGTCCAGGAAAAGGCTTCTCCCAAATAGAACAGCCAACTTACAATCAAGATATAGAAAGGTGGAAGAACAGCGTTTAACCTTTAAAATCCAACATGTGTCAGCGTGAACTGGTGTGAAGCCACATAGGAGGTCAAAAAAGCCCCCACTGCTGCTTAAGTGGCATGTACAGATCAGAATTTTGTCAGCCCCGTTATTCGCTACCAGTGTGTTTCCATCTTCTCTTTGGTGCTCACCTCGCGATCAGTGCTAAGTATCTTGTAACTTGATTCTAATGGAGAACTTTGCCTGCAGTTCCATGATCAAAGTGATGCGTATGAAAATCAAGACTTACTAAAATCTCACTATCTAGTCACTTCTTCCACTGGCAAGTGCCTGGGCAGAACAGAATCCACTCTGAAACTACGTACATAATGATGAATTACTGGCACTATATTGAGGGCTTTTATTCTGGAGGTTATTTTTTATTTTGATCTTTATGTACTTTAGAAAAAATTCTCCAGCCTGGTAAATTATGGCTGTCTGTACGGAATGAAGGGGTAAACCGCCCAAACATAGTGCCTTCCTCATGTACAAATAGACAGACACCTACTTACATTTAATCGATCATTCCCATTTGAGGAAAACAATTTGCAAAGTATTCTAAACACAAAGGCATTTGTGGGCAACTTAACAGAATCTCACATTTGTGAGATTCACAGAATAACCAGTACATCTGTTATTCAGTTATCTGATGATAAAAGTCAAGCAAAATGAAGAGTTCCAGTATTACAGGATCAGTCACAGCAGCTCTAGCCATATATCTGCAGTTGTCAAGTTATATGTTGTCAAACAGACTTGTGCAACAACAGTTCCAGCCCGTGCCAGTTACACTTTTCTGATGTATGGAAAGTTTAATTTGCGTTAGATGCAGGCTCTCATAAAGAATATGTTTTCACTCATCTGCTTGGAACAAAAGCTCCTACTATACAGCACTCGAAAAACAAGGACTCTGCAAAGCTAAGTATCTGTCTGTCTTGTGAAAAGGAAGGAAACTGAGTACTTGAGGGCTATAGCTTTTTTTTTTTTCTTTTTTTGGTAAAGCAAGCGATCTCTGAAGATAACTTTCAGAAATTTTGTTTTCAATATTCCCCTGGGAAAAGATAAAACATCATACCGATAACAAATTTTATCTTTTATCGGATACTGTAATTCTTTTTCTAATCTTAATTCAATTTAGATTATTATCTTTATATATGTATTTTTAGATTATTTATATTTAAGAAATAAGGCGGCAATTTTTCATGAAATTCCTGTGAGCCAATTGATAAAAATAACTACTAAAACATGATAAAAATTATCCAAATCTACTAAGTATTTAAATGAGGATCTCTAACACAGTTAACACTATTGCATTGCTTTCTGGATGTGTCCTTTTTAATCTTAAAGAACACCTTCAACCTAGGAAAGTAAATATCACTTCTGCAGTAGTGAGCAATTTTTTTGGTGAAAGGGACTCTGATAATTTGTTTTATTTTTAACCAATGTGTTGCATTTAAACAAATGTAGAGGAAGCAGTGTGTGTGTGAAATTACATAGCTACCTAAATATCAGGCTAGAACTGAAAAGATGCAAAGTCTCTCTAGTATGAAGGAAATTCTGTACATGTTTGTTTGGATTCCCAGGGCTACCATTTCATTAGAAATCTAATACATTTATATCAAAATAGCAAGGGTCAAACTCAGCGTTATACTCCAGATGTAATTTGAGCACATTTCTCCATCTAGCTGGCAAGGTGTTCTGACAACACCCCCCCACCACACCTCCAACCTAAATAATAACTGGAAGATGTTTTAAACTTAATGTATTTACTGAATGTGGTTTTCAACTACGTTACGAATTTATTAATTGAAACCAATAAATTTTTGACCTCTAGTGAACAGCATTTCAAATGTTCACATAACCCACAACTGCAGGCTGGGGATTAGCAAGAATCTTTCAGTGGGACTTTGCTTCTGAAAACAAACAGCTGATGCTGGAATTCCTGGGATTTTTCTAGGGCTATAAGTTTACATTTGCAAACTAACATAATTTTCTGCTAAAAGATCAGGTCATAAAACCATGCTTTACTTGTACTTACTGAAATTTCTTGCTAGTTCAAATCACAGCCAGAGAATCAATTAAACCAATTAAAACTAAAATTTAGTAAAACTTAATAGCGTTGGTTTGAACTTGTAAATGAAGACTGTCCAGGGTGCAGAACACACAGCTTGGTGAAAACCTCAGTTGGGTCACTGATACAGTGTCACTGAAAGCACTTGTTTGGGGGGGTATCTTGTAACTTGATTCTAATGGAGAACTTTGCCTGCAGTTCCATGATCAAAGTGATGCGTATGAAAATCAAGACTTACTAAAATCTCACTATCTAGTCACTTCTTCCACTGGCAAGTGCCTGGGCAGAACAGAATCCACTCTGAAACTACGTACATAATGATGAATTACTGGCACTATATTGAGGGCTTTTATTCTGGAGGTTATTTTTTATTTTGATCTTTATGTACTTTAGAAAAAATTCTCCAGCCTGGTAAATTATGGCTGTCTGTATGGAATGAAGGGGTAAACCACCCAAACATAGTGCCTTCCTCATGTACAAATAGACAGACACCTACTTACATTTAATCGATCATTCCCATTTGAGGAAAACAATTTGCAAAGTATTCTAAACACAAAGGCATTTGTGGGCAACTTAACAGAATCTCACATTTGTGAGATTCACAGAATAACCAGTACATCTGTTATTCAGTTATCTGATGATAAAAGTCAAGCAAAATGAAGAGTTCCAGTATTACAGGATCAGTCACAGCAGCTCTAGCCATATATCTGCAGTTGTCAAGTTATATGTTGTCAAACAGACTTGTGCAACAACAGTTCCAGCCCGTGCCAGTTACACTTTTCTGATGTATGGAAAGTTTAATTTGCGTTAGATGCAGGCTCTCATAAAGAATATGTTTTCACTCATCTGCTTGGAACAAAAGCTCCTACTATACAGCACTCGAAAAACAAGGACTCTGCAAAGCTAAGTATCTGTCTGTCTTGTGAAAAGGAAGGAAACTGAGTACTTGAGGGCTATAGCTTTTTTTTTTTTCTTTTTTTGGTAAAGCAAGCGATCTCTGAAGATAACTTTCAGAAATTTTGTTTTCAATATTCCCCTGGGAAAAGATAAAACATCATACCGATAACAAATTTTATCTTTTATCGGATACTGTAATTCTTTTTCTAATCTTAATTCAATTTAGATTATTATCTTTATATATGTATTTTTAGATTATTTATATTTAAGAAATAAGGCGGCAATTTTTCATGAAATTCCTGTGAGCCAATTGATAAAAATAACTACTAAAACATGATAAAAATTATCCAAATCTACTAAGTATTTAAATGAGGATCTCTAACACAGTTAACACTATTGCATTGCTTTCTGGATGTGTCCTTTTTAATCTTAAAGAACACCTTCAACCTAGGAAAGTAAATATCACTTCTGCAGTAGTGAGCAATTTTTTTGGTGAAAGGGACTCTGATAATTTGTTTTATTTTTAACCAATGTGTTGCATTTAAACAAATGTAGAGGAAGCAGTGTGTGTGTGAAATTACATAGCTACCTAAATATCAGGCTAGAACTGAAAAGATGCAAAGTCTCTCTAGTATGAAGGAAATTCTGTACATGTTTGTTTGGATTCCCAGGGCTACCATTTCATTAGAAATCTAATACATTTATATCAAAATAGCAAGGGTCAAACTCAGCATTATACTCCAGATGTAATTTGAGCACATTTCTCCATATAGCTGGCAAGGTGTTCTGACAACACCCCCCCACCACACCTCCAACCTAAATAATAACTGGAAGATGTTTTAAACTTAATGTATTTACTGAATGTGGTTTTCAACTACGTTACGAATTTATTAATTGAAACCAATAAATTTTTGACCTCTAGTGAACAGCATTTCAAATGTTCACATAACCCACAACTGCAGGCTGGGGATTAGCAAGAATCTTTCAGTGGGACTTTGCTTCTGAAAACAAACAGCTGATGCTGGAATTCCTGGGATTTTTCTAGGGCTATAAGTTTACATTTGCAAACTAACATAATTTTCTGCTAAAAGATCAGGTCATAAAACCATGCTTTACTTGTACTTACTGAAATTTCTTGCTAGTTCAAATCACAGCCAGAGAATCAATTAAACCAATTAAAACTAAAATTTAGTAAAACTTAATAGCGTTGGTTTGAACTTGTAAATGAAGACTGTCCAGGGTGCAGAACACACAGCTTGGTGAAAACCTCAGTTGGGTCACTGATACAGTGTCACTGAAAGCACTTGTATTGTTGGGGCTGAGTTTCAAAAAAAAAACCTTCTTTCTCTCCCCCCACAAACCATGCTTTGCATATTTACATGTAGTTAAATGCATTTCCTAATTTGAGAATACTGTAGTCTAGTCATTTTTAATCTAGCCTAATGGCTTGTTAGTGCAAATCACTACTTGGCTGCCATGCAAAGAATTTCCTACTCTACAAAAAACTGATGTACAGATTGCTGTCAGATTTAAGTGTGGCATGAATGGAAATGGAAGGAATCAATGATCATGCTCTATTATTTTAAAGTCAATTGTATTAGTTATTAATTCTCACTATTTACTACTGATTAAATGTTGATATTGTTGGGTAATGAAGGGGGGCATGTGATATGTGCATGAAGTACCTTATATCCAAGCCAGTAAGCCCAAATAACAGCAATAGCATGTTTATTTCTAGCCTCCTCCTTCAGTCGTCTCAGTTCCCTTCGCGCCTGTGATGCATTTGAAAATGGGATATAGAAAAGCTTAGGAAAGAAAAGGTTACTGCAAGTTCCCAATGGTGCAAGAAAGAAAGAAAGAAACCATTCACTAAAACCAGCAAATATTAAAGCATGTCCCAGCTTCCCAGATTGTACCAGCTAAAACATGTTAGCAGCAAAGAGAAACATAAAAATCAGTAGTTTAAGCCACTGAAAATATTCCCCGATAACTTTATCCTGAAGGGCCTTCTTCGTTCTATGTAGAGACAATTAAGTGCACAATTTCTTGTCATTTTCTTACCTGGGTACCATGCCAATAAGCGGCAATTATTGTGGCAGCCTCATTACAACGCTTCTGATGCTTAAGCTCCCGAAGAAGTTTCCGAGCCTGTAAACAATTGACAACATTATTTTATCCAAATAAATAACTATAATTTCTTAATGATTTTTAACTAAGGCACTGCAACCTGTGAATCTAGGCAAAACCAAAACACAATGCCTCCAAATCTCCAAGCAAATAAATTCATAAATGCTACGCAGCCTAACGTTCGCTGTTCCAGGGAGGATTCTGTGCACAAGTGAGAGCTTGGGACTGGCAGTTCAGGGGTTCTTAGTTCAATGTTTAGTTTTCTCCCAGATTTGCTGCATCATCTGAGATACCTATATGTCTGTCTGTTCAATGGCAATAATACTTTTCCTCCACACAGTGTATGTCTCATCCATTTAGACTGCAATAAAGTATAAATCACAAGTAAATTGCCTGGCTTTAGGTCACACTAAAGACTGCTGTCATACCAGGCTCTTATCCATGGCAGTGCTACCGCAAAAGAGCGTGTTCTCCCACGACAAACAGAAAACCCTAACTTAAGATGAGATGATACTTTTACCCAATTTCCTTCAAATAACGCTCATGGGAAAAGACAGCACGTCAATAGTTAGACTGAAAGGATATTTTTAACTCATTTAAACAAAATAATAAAGACAAACTAAAAATCAAGAAAAATAGTAAAATCAAATTATGGTAGCTTTTTGCTGGGCAAAACATTCTGGGCAGGAGAGGGCTGTTTACACCTATAGCTAGTAACTGCAGCCCCTTCCTTCCCTGTCTGACAGGAAGGGAACTGGCTCCAGAATTAAAGGCAGTTCTCTCTTCCCTAAATAGAGGAGAAAGCCACATTTAGTGGGGCAGAGAAAGGTTAATAAGAAAACAGAGGAGCCCAGGGACATTTTTTCCTGAAGCCGGACAGCAGTAGCTGCTTTAAGCACTGTGGCTGCTTTCATGTGAGGTGTTAACCTCATTTTTATCTTTTATTACAGCATCACTCCTTAAGTCTCTACTATGGCTGCAGGATTATCCCTTCATGAAGTACGAACCTCTTAGAGAAGAAGCAAAGTTGTAGCAAATCAAGGCAGAGGACAAGCAAACGGCGATGAAGTACTTGCTCAACACAAGTTGAGTACAGCACACTTTCACCCCTTCGCTTAGCACACAGAGGAGAATTGAAGACTTAACCCACGTAACATACTGCCCAGGTGACCCAAACTCTTTATTTTAAGCCTGCTTTCAATTTTGTTCATTCTTGGAGAATCCTGTTAACCATAAAATAACCGCCAACCACAACTTATTTCTTCCAAATCAGTCCAACGTTACAGTTTTCATAAGCCCAGTGGCAGAGTCCTGGACCATCCTGCTCTGGAGCTGCTGGGCTGCCTGGTTAGCGTGTACCTAGATCTGCTCTGAACACCAGACTCATTCATTCACGCTCCAGTCCTGAAGCCCATGTAAAGAGGGGGCCCATGTAAAGACGGCACCTCTCTCCAAATTCTCTGGCAGAAGATGTCCCAAGGATAACCCAGTAGTTTAGTGTGGTTCCAGCCTTCCACTCGTGCTGTTTGCAGGGATTTAGAGCCTAGGCTACAAGCAGATATCCCAAACTCACCTCTTCTATGGCAAACACAAATGTTTAACAACGGCTACGGCACAGCCACAGCTCAGTGGACAGAAGGCATATGTTTTCTGACCGGGTCCTTACCTCACCGTGCAGACAGAGCCACAGTAACAGGAAACTCACCTTCCATCCTCTGATGTAAGACTGTACTATAACAGCCGAACTCTTTATCTTCTGATACTTTTTTTGTTGCTGTATTGGAAATAAATATGTGATGCTTAGAACAGAATATTGCCATTGTAAAATATTGTATAATAAAACTTTCATTACTAACATTTGAAAATACGATTAAGAATACAAGCACTAAATGTAAAAAGTGAACAATTTTTTGACCAAGCAGATCAGAGCGTAGATTCTGAGTTCCACTGAGGGGAAACAAAACACATCAACAATGCTGCATGGACAATGTCACTCTCTGTTTACTGAAACACTAAGTTCATGGTCAGCAGCACAAAAGTGACATGGATTAAATACTAACAGTAACAGCTTCATTTGTCTTCCCCACCAACAGAGTAGCATACAAACTGTCACAAATGCTCAGGTTTGTTGGCTAAGCTTTTGACCATTTTTTCATAAGACTTGTGCTGTTCCTATTACCTGCAGTCCCTTTATAATACCAAATGCTGATGATAACTTAGGAACAGAAAAAAGAAAACTCATGGATTTATGAATGACATGCTGGAATATTATCCAAGTATGCCAGTTTGAACAATAAATTTCCCGGACAGCTGAGCATTTTCCTTCTAAAAAGCTCAGTTCTCCAGTAGACCAGTGGTTAGTATAATACTAAGTGAACAACAGTTGACACACTTTGCAACAAGGCTTTTAGACTTCACACTCAGCCCACTCAATTACAGTGAACATCTCTGCGAGCAAGCTAGAAAGACTCCCCTCTAGGCCACATTCATGCCATGACTGACGTCCGTCATGCCTTGCAAGGGAACAGACAGGTGAGTGTCTGCAGATCCTTTAGCCAAGCCTCCGGCACAAGGAGTTGTCAGCAAGCTTTGTTCATGCAAGGGATTCCTTATGAAACCTTCCAAATCACAGTGTCTAACAGTCATGTTGGGTTAGGAGAATGGTGCCCTCCATCTACATGAAGAGGCTGAGGAAATATCGCTATCGTCACCCGTAAGCAATTCTGAGGGTCTTGCTATGACTTCATCCTGCATTCAGAGACAATTGCTGCCGTGCTTCACCAGTGAACCAATAAAGGTCTACAGTTAAGAAATCAACAATGATGTGAACTTGGTCACGTATTTGTTTTCATTTCTTTATACTGAAAGTTGTGCCAATCTAGCTGTGGTAACTCCGTTTTTAATTCATTACAATGCATTGAGATCATAATGAAGCCATATGGGCACAACACAATTCTGTATTGATGCTGCTTGTAGAAACAGTGCTTTCAATCACAGAAGTTCAGAGAGAAGCGTTTTTACAGTGAAAAAGCATTTATTCATACTTTTTCTGAATTATCCATGCTTTTCTCTAATTATCCAAGATAACTGAACTAAACACTAACAGCTTTCAAGATGATAAACAGAAGTGCTCATCAACTGAAAAACAGTGATTGTCAATTCTGCAACTTGCAGTTTAAGAAGATGCTTTCTTTCCATATCATATATTTTATCAAACTTTCTGATATGCACACAGTAACAAAATGCAGCTGAGATGTTTAAGAATTGTTTTACAACTTAAAAACAATAAATCTTTTTTAAAGCTATAATAAATAAATAATTAATAATAATAAATCAATGTTATTTACTAACTGACGAAAAGACATGAGAGTCATGTAACAGCACTGTTCAGCATGACACAGAATACCCGGTCTACAAACAGATTTGAAACTGTTCCAGAACTGTATCAATAACAACTACTGAACTACCAGTCTTATGAGCTATAATTAAAATAAATCCCTGGGATCCTCCCAAGCAGCATTCTTGAGCCTCAAATGCAAAGGTTCCAAATAAGGCGAAAATACAAAAAGCCTTAGGAATGACTGAATTCCACAAAACTGCACATGTATATTACCGAACATCTTTTACACATTAACCATATGTTTTGAGAGCGCTCTAAGTGCTAGGCAGCACTTTAGCTGAATGAAAAAGACACTCCCCAGCTGGGCCACAAAATCCTGCTCTCCCAGAGCTAAAGGACTCTGGTGAGCTTTTTAATCATTTAAGCACAAGCACAAAGCAAATACTGAATAGTGGTCTCTAGAAACTACATTTTCTTCTTTTCTTTTAGTTTTCTTCACATTTTTGGTACTTAAATACTAACATAAAATTGAATTCTTCCAACGCTTCTCCATACGTATCAAGGAAAAATATCATATGAGGGTTATACGAAATATCATCTCAATGTTATGTGAAAAAACATACTAAACAATAAAAAGAACCCCCCGTTTAGTAAGGATATTATCTTACTGCATATCTCCTGTACCAGGAAGCAATCACAATCTGGCTTTTTTTCATTAACAAGAAGCGTGTGCGGCACTTCCAACCTCTATAAATCTTCTCAATTAGAGTAGCCAAGTCCTCCAACCGCTGCTTTCTCAGATCTTCTAGTTTGAAGAGCTGGGTGTGGGGTTTTTTAGGGTTTTGTTTGACGTTGGAAGAAAAACAGTAGGGGAGAAAAGACCAAAAAACCATAAGCACAGCTACTGTAAGAGAAATCTCTCCTTTATTCAAGTCCCCCTTCAGACACCTTTTGGTTTATTCTTCATCTTCAGAGCTGTAGGCAGATACAACACCAGGGTTTGTGGCAGATACGTTGCCACAAGTCAGTGCATGAAAGTTACATTAAATTCAGGCTGACAGCTACTGTAGAGTCTTGATTCACAACAGTTTTAATGGGTCTAACATTAAAAAGTGCCTTTTTTAATGCTATATTCCACAGCAATATATCAAAGCACTGTATCTAGAAAAATCTGTAGTAACCAGCTAGTGAATTATGCAGTTCGTAACAGGCTATCCTCGTGAAAGATGGCTTGATTTTGCAGGGGAAGACATTTTTCACTTACCGTTCTTGGGTTGCGGATGAATATCTTTGATCTACCAAATGAAAATTCTTCTTCAGGGATTTCCAATTCATTAAACAGTACCTCTACGCCAGCCCTAATAAGAAGTAAATGAGCTTAACAAACATGACCCCCGGCTCTAAAACTTCTTAGTTTACATATTCACAGATTAATTTATGGAAAGTATATGAAAGCCTATTTTAAATTCTTAAATAGTGCTTGACATAAGAAGATTGAAAACCTAACTCATTTACTCACTGGTTATTTAGCTAAAGGCAAGAATAGTCACTGTAAAGATTAGAATAATTTGATGAAAAAAGAGCAATTTTTATTTAACATCATCAGCAATGGCCTACTTTTTCCTCTTACATCTGTAACATTTTTACTTTACAAAAAAAAGAAAGAAAAAAGGAAGGACTCTCACACTAATGTCAAAATGTGAAACAAAGAGTGACGAGTTTGACAAATGCTAATGTTCCACACTCTACCAACTGCATTTTATAAATGTCAACAAAAAAGAAAAGAGAGGAATTGCACAGAACTTTGTGAGGAATGCTATTGTTATCAATACTGCACTTCCACCATTATCATGATAACCTGAAGATTTAAGTTCTAGCTAAAGATATTAATCTATTATGAAAGAAATTTAAATCACACTGCTGGTGGCCAGGTGTAAAAAGAATTGAGAAGCTCATTTGCCTACCCAAGATGTCATCTGTAAAAATACATATGAATACAATGCAATTTAAAATTACATATTTAATACAATTGATTTGCAAGAGCTATTATCTCATAGTTGTTCACCAATCATTATGTAAAATTATTCTTGAAAGGACAGAGGAAGGTTGCGTGACAGTCTTCAAGGAAATGGGTGTTCCTACACTTTGAAAGTTGGTTATTAAAGGTAAGTGTCCTTCTGACCATTCCAGACCTCTTCGTCATTTTGATTCCACACTCCAGTACCTCTCTCTCTCCCCCCACCCCTTTCTTTCAGGCCCAATATCTTCTAAAAACGATGTGTTCTCCTTGCTCACATGCAAAATCTTTTGCATTAGTAGATTAGTTCATCACTAAAATCATCTCCTTTGCCAAGTAACTGTAATTTTTAGCCTACTTAAAAGTATAGGTTTCCCAGTGAATGAACTCATCCAAAATCTGGAACAAGATGCTAAAGAGCAACATACTAGTAAAACACTTGAGCCACACTGGCTTAGTTTTTAATTTACTTTTAAAACACTTGAAAGTTCATTAAATTAAAAAAAAAAAATCAGAACATGTGGAAGATAGCAATTTCAATCATTGGAACAGGACTGGTGAGAATACTGATGTTTTCCTACCTGGCTGGTCCTCTCCAGTGGGGCCACGTCTGCTTACACAGCATTTTGTACCTTTCCAGGCAAGGCTCGTACCCCTGCCTAAATGCATAACCTGCCCTTCTGACCCGGACGTTCTCCAGAAGACCAAGGTAGCGGATCTGGTGGCACACCAGGGCGTCATTGAAAATGTGTGCAGCCTTTTTGTCGTTGGGTTTGATGCACCTGGAAAGGGAAATGAACAGGAACACTTGTTCGCAGCACTGTATGTGTCAACAACTATTATTGTGAGTTTAAACCATAGATTTCAATAGTTTATCCTTGGCTATCAAGATTTTTTTTTTATTATTTTTTTTTTTAACTCCTTTAAACATAAATTCACCAACGCTTTGCCACAGGGTAATTTACCTAATGTAGTTTGGATTTTTTGTCTGAAGATTTTTCATCAGGGTAGCAACCGAAGCCTTGAACTGTGAACCTGCTGTCGGTGGTCTCTTTAGATTGATCTTAGCGGGGTTACCTTCTGGGAACAACGCTTTGATAAGAGAGTGACTGGCCTTCCACATGGCCTGGGAGAGGTCACGGTACAGAAGATCATTATTTTTGTCAACAAATCCTTCCACCTGGTACATAACCTGAACAATACAGAAGAGTCTCATCAGAGCACGTTTTGAACTATAACATAGGCCAGTTCAAAACTGAACCAAGAAATTGATTTCTCCTTCTTTCTCACCATCCAAAACAAACAAAAGACATTTCAGCTTTCATTTGAAATTTGACATTTGGAAGACCTTTTGTTGGATAAAATTTCTGTGAACACACTTCCTGAGAAAGACGCATTTTCTCACACTGCTAACACTTCCTTGTGCTGATCAATTCTGGTTTCTGAAATGGAAAAAATCCTTCTTCTGTGATAACTCTGATACAACACTGCTTGCCAATACTCCAAAACAATCCTTTTTTGGCTGACAAAAGCTTTTCTCCCTCTCTTTTGAATCACAACAGCAAAAATACCCTTTCTCTTCAAAGTACTAATGCTTACATCATTTGCCTAATTAAAACAAGATATGAAATATCACCTCTTGATATCACAGCAGCAAGCGGCTATCTGCGCAGTCCTCAGGGGACTGTTATATTAAAGGACTTTTACCAGGAAAACAGTCCAACAACAACAAGTATGAATGCAAAGCGCTGACCTGCAGCTGGAGACCCAGGAGGCATCCAGGGGAACCTCATGTAGATCTCAGATTGCTACTGGCTTTTTTAATATTTGACGGTAGGGAATTTAGTTTGATTAATTGTGACAAGTCATCCGGCTGGTAATACAGATTCTTCAGCTTCATGATTTCTCAGTTCTATGTAGTTATGTACTATGTACACAGAAAACCGAATAAAACTAATACTGACATAGCCATATTTTACACAACAGCAAGTGACTGGGAATTCAGGCAGCTTTTTTCTTCGGAGTACACGTTTCTGTTTGTGACAGGTGTGGTAAAAGCCACTACTGAAAAAAACTGTTCATATGAACTTGCTTATATTTCAAAAAAGGAGAGTCAAACTTTTGTTGTCCAGTGACTAGATCAAAATGTTTTCAGCTGAGGGTGGAAAAACAACATTCCTCCCAAAATAGGAGGAATTCACTGACAGTTGTACTGAGTAAGTGAATGCCAATAACAATTGAAGACCCTCGCTGCCTGCTAAGACACAGTCTGTTTGCAGTCCTTCTCAAAGCGCTGGAATGTTTTCAATTCACTTTGAATTTGGACAACAAAAGAAGTATCTAAGTATTAATGCCTGATAGATTATATGCAATTACAAAATATTCTTAGCAAATACATAACAAAGTTAATGAATGGCTGCCTCAAAGGCTTAAAGTATGACATATCCAGCACTATTTTGAATGAGCACATTATCGAGCTATTCAAAATTGTAAGATTGAGAAAATGTTAAAAAATAGGGAAGTATTAAACAGTCCTAGCAAAATGAAACACTTTCTAAATATTCATTACTCTGTGAAACTAACAATTCAGCAGATTCAAACAAGAGGTAGTTTCAACCCCTATGCTTACTTTTAATTTTTATTTAAATAAGTTGTCTTCTTTTTTCAAATTTAATGATTTTGATTTTCATTAATAAAAAGTCATACTGAATTATACATCAAAAACTATCAGACTTGTATTTACTTTTTACAACGTAAGCAGTATGAATAAATACATTTGCAAGCCCTCTGTATAGCTTTCTCTTCCACCTGTTTAAACGCACAGGCTGTCAAAATCAACTCGGTTCCTTCAAATGTACAAAAAAATCCATTTTCTAATCAACATGACTAAGGACTTCAGCTAGTTCAGTGACAAAGAACATGTTTTCCAAAATATCTTGCCTTCAGATGTGTGTGAATCAATGTCATTCTAAATAACAATTTTATTTCCAGAGACCTAGCAGCACAAGCAGTTCACCACCAAAGCACATGGGACATCTTTCTCCCTTGCTGAAAGGAGTACTGCCCTTGATTTCAACTAGAGCAGCATGATCTCTGAAAACCTTCCAGCCCAAATCACAAATCTTTGGCTTAAGACAGAAAAAGATTAAGACAGGTCTGGATTTCTTGATCAACTGTTGACTCAAGCAATTCCTCTCCATTAGTGTAACGTCATTTAATGGACGAAGAGCCTCCCCATTGTACCAAACCTAGGCTTCACACAGGTACAACACCCTCCAAACACCGCATACTCCCCACTTCACCAGGTACCTTGCCAGCGTAATGCTGAATCCTGAAGCAGCTGTGAGGCAAGGAGGTGTCGTTGAGGAACCGGGAGCACTTGCTCATCCTGCTCTCAAAATGCTGGTGAGTGGCACAGACTTGGTTCAGTTTTTCTAAAAAGGTGTCATCAGTAACAGTTCCTGGTCTCAGGCATTCTTCATCTAGCATGGCCAGGATTCCAGTTTGGTTCTGAAGTTTCAAGACAAGGGCTTTAGTGTTCGTTTCCATCACATTTCTATCAAGGCATAAAAAGGAGACCGCTTTCTCCCGTTTGAGTTCTGCTACCCAGAAAAACATTCTTCAAGCCATCTCAAAGTTTGGCTCTTTTCCTCATCCCCATTTCCAATAGATTTCTAGTATCTGTGTTTTTGAAAGACTGCTTCTGAGATCTGAATCTTGAACTTCATGTTGGAATTTCGTGTCGTTTACTCAGACCGTAGAAATTTCAACTTAAATGAAAGTAGCCAGTTTACAGGTAAAACCAGCATACATTTTATGTTAATGGTTAAAAACTGTTCTTTTCCGATGGTTAAGGAGTTTTATCCTTCTTGCTGTGTTAATTCCATAGGAAGTCCTCTTAGTAGATACAAGTACTTTCTGTACTTGAAGCACTCAGTAACAAGTCATTGAGTTTACTAGTTTCCATATAAATGTTATTTACAATGCAGCATGTGATATCTGCTATTGAAAACAGCACTAAATGTAAACATTTAAGGGTTGTTTGGGTTTTTTTTGTGTAGGTGCTGCTGAACATTTCTAACAAAGTAACATATAGCCTTATAAAAAAATTTTTTTTAGTAAAATAAACTTTTATCATACAAAATAAGATGACTAATACAATGAGTGGCTTGTTTTAAAAAACACAGTGCGTGAGGATGCATACAGACTTTACAGCTAAATTCAATCCCTGCACTAAAAAAATTATTCAGAGAGATTCTTGAATATAACTTACATTTTCTATTAGGTCACAAATTATAGCATTGTTGAAATACTCAATATGAGTCCATTCAATCCCCTATAAGAAAAAAAACACAACAATGTATGAACAGGAAAACAATTGAGGGAGCTTTTCCTCTTGGCAATTTAAATTGTATTCCAGTTATCTAAGATGCTACTTTTAAATTTAATTCTACATGCTTACCAACATTGTAGTTCTTAAGAAAGAAATGCAATCATCTACTACTAACATTATCTGCGTAAAATGACTGTCCTTGAGCGGCTGCCAAACCCGCTCTCCATTCCTTTCCCCCACCCGTGTCAGCTTCCCATGCACTCCCCTGGCGCCCCGCCAGGCTCCTCCCGTCCCAGCACCGCTCTGCCCGCGCTCCCACTGGTTGTAAGGAAATAAGCCCATCTCACGGCAAGCATCTGAGATCAAAATTTCTAAGCTCTTAGTTGCTGGGGCTTTTTTAATGGGAGGAAGAAAGAGGGCTAAATTTAGATGAGACCATCTTAAAAATCCAGAGTCTGGCTGTTGTTCAGGTATTGCTAATATCCTAATTTTTTCAAATATCAGCGATAATGGATGAGATGCCAATGCATCAGGAGGTAACACCGGTAGGGCAAAGGACTGGAAAAAGAAAATATTAATTTCCTTCTTAATTTGCATTCTGCGGTACTTCTTACAGTTTAGTTTTTTCAGAGCATTTGAAATATCATTCAAGAACCAAACTGCAGTAATGATGTTTCAAGAGTTTCATCACTGAATGCAAAAAGAAAAAAGACATGCCCAAACTTCGTGTTATCCTCAGGATTATAAGGCAGGAACTTTATTTAATTTTTAAAAACATTTATACAGCAAAATGGTATCATCCAATTTGCGTACAGAGAGTGTATGCCAGTTTCTACAGCTGTGAGCTCGTAATTTTGTCTGAGCTCTGTATATCATGGGGAGTACTGCTAAAACCTATTAAAACTTTAACTTGATGTTTGCTCACAGAATAACATCAAACAGCACAGTCTGGGCTCCAAAGCACATCTTAAAACTACCCATAAAGCTCTCACAGCTCCCTTCAATACTTAACTGAAAGAAAACTAGAACCAAAAATCTATTTGTAGTTTCTTTCATGTCACATGCTTTTGTTTTACCCACCCAATTCCCTTTTGAAACAGGATTAGCTGTGGCCGCTGTTGGGGTGTATCCCAGACGCTACTGTGTAATCCAAAACACGGGCTGTAGGGTAATGGCACTAACACCAGAAAGCAATATTAGTCTTCTAATAAATTAGCCCTTGCTCAGAACTGCTGGTCATTGTTGCCAATGAATGAGAGTTGGGTCTGGTTTATACCTGGACAAATCATAATGTGAAGCAAAACCAAAACTGACTTTTTTTGCTTAATGTAACTACCACGCAACCCCACACAGACACGCTCCATGCCAGGCCTCCGGTCAAAAAGCAACTCTGTTCCCTGAAAAGAGGATCCAGTATGCATGCCTAAGTATCTTTACAGGAACAACGGGAAGAGGAGAGGATAAGGCAAGATCCATTCAAGTACTACCTCTCGGATGTATTCCTCCTGCTCTTCTTTGAGGGTAAGTTCAATGAAGATCTGCTGCAACTTCTCATTACAGTAGTTGATAATGAATTGCTCAAAGCTGTTGTCCTGTCAGATAAAACATGTTTGCATTTGCTGTTATGTAAACACTCTGGAAGTCAGCTGGAGTAAGTTACTGCAGCAGCTGCAAGTCAACAAGCCACTTTATTAACTACTCCTTCCAGTTTTGTGATGTGATGGTTCGAGTAACATTTTATCCAGAATGAGATTAGTTTGGAAGTTTTAGACCAAATCCTTCCCTGAGGCTCTCTCCATTGGGAGGGACAAAAACTCTGTAGGTTTATATTCGTGATGCCTCTGTATCAATTCCTTGGGACAAGTCATAAGGAGGCCTGTGGTGTCAGGGAATAAACAACAATAGTTTTGCCTGCACTAACCTGTCCCCGTGTGTAAAATGTAGTCTCCTGCAGGTTCTGATAAATAAAATTATGATAGTAGCATTAGCTCTTTTCCAACCAGGATCACTCAGTAGCAAATAAAGTATCCTATTTCACTACAGGCCGAGGCCCAAGCTGCTATTCTGGTTGCAGCTGAGCCTGGGTTAAGAGATTATTGGCTCCAGAGGTCAACCCACCTCCTCCCTGCCAACAAACCGCTCATGTAACTGCCCTGTGAAATGAGGGGCATTAAAAGAATTTTATCAACCAAAAGTCCTTTAAAAGGCTAATCCATATAAAACTGGGTTAGGGAGCAAGCATGCGTGTGACCCTTTGCAGAAGGGACCGGGGAACAGAGCAGACCCTGGAAGGAGGGGTGGGGCAGTGGGACGGCTGCTCCGCGACTGCAGCCGCGGCAGCCTGCTCCATCACAGCTGCATGGCAGGACGGCTGCAGGAGCAGGGCTGTGACATTACAGCAGCATGCTTCCAGAAGGACACACGTCAGCATCGGAAACGGTGGCCGCAGCAAGCCCCTAAATTCCACAGGTAAAGCCCTTGCACTCAAGCCAACTGAAGTTTTACTGCTAACATCACCAGGGCCAGGACTGCAGCATAAAAGCTGTGGTTCACCACTTCATCTCCATTATCTTAAATGAGTGCAGTTTGGAGGCCAGGTCCCCGTTCTGAGGACAAACGCCACTTTCAAAGAAAAAGGGAACAGCAGCTTCACTGGGTTTTTTCCAGTGCTTGAAAGAGTCATTACTATTGTAAGAATTCCATACATGTATCTACAGAAATAACTGCAATCAAGAGTAATTTTGGATATGTGCTGCTGGTCTTCTCTTCTCGGCTTTGTGGTTATGGGGTTCCCTCCCCCTTGTCCTTTTTTTTTTTTTCCTTTCTTAATTATTAGTCATCCAGAACACTTTGGTTATTTAGGAAGCCTGAAAATTTGCAGAATAAATCACTATGCCTTTTTACACTACCAAATAAGTCTGCTACACAATACCTGTGAAGCTCAAGTTATGGTGATATGATTTTTATGACTAAGGGCAACTGCAATCATTTAAATGTTTTAAATTAAGGATCTGGTTGCTAAAATGAGATTAAGAACACACAAGCAGATTAGAAAATATTGAGGTAGCACAGATTACTTTTATCATTTTAGTTAAAGCAAAATCATAGCTGATCAGCAAACTTTCTCAGCCACATCAAACTCTGCCCCTCACACCAATTTTAATTATCAATCAGAGACTGCAAAACTTGCATAGCTCTAGATGAGAAAGTTAAAATTTGGCATGCATCAAAATCAGCACTGCAAACAAGTCATACTTACTGCATTCTGTTGCAAAAAGAAATTACATAAACTGCAGTCAGTACTTATACTACTTGCATAACAACACATAATATAATAGATCTATTAGCATTTATTTGGCATACCAGGTAGATCAGTCCTTTTATCAGACTCACATTTGTATGTCACTGAAAACGTGAAGTACTACATAAATGTTATGTATTGCTTCTTTGTAGATGAGTGTATCTTTAGGTTCTATCCAAAGATTATCAAATAAACCAAGGGATTGAGGCACCTCAGTGTAACACAGAACAGCATTCTTGCATTGTCACATCTCTAAATCACCAATTTTCTTTTGTCTCAAAAGGCCACATATACTACCTTTGGTAGACACATCTCAGTAAAGGGAGGGGAGAATGGGGAAGGGAAGAGAGAGTACAGGAGGAAGGATGAGTAGAAGTTTATTTGACGCATTCAAGTAAGGTCAACAATTTAGATATATTGAGTTTGAAGCAAAAGGACCCCAACTGACACATCACCTTGGCAAAGAGGAAGGGTAAAACACACTCTGCCTCCTCCTGCCAGGCACACGCCACCCAACGCAGAAAGATTGTTTCTCCAAAAGACGATATTATTCTGATTACAAGGACTGCAGGACTTTTTGCTCACATATTATACACAGTCTTCAAAAGAGAATGGAAAATGAACTGCAAATCCAGCTAAACCACCTAACTAAAAGGTCATTAACAATATATTAAAGTAATTGCTAGATGCTTTCCTGATTTGCTATGTTTCTGTGATATTTATGGTTTGCCAAAGAAAGGCAAACCAAAATCCACAGAGTACTTCACAAATCACTCACTTTAAGCTATGAAATTCTATCTGACATTGCCAAGCCACTGAAAATTGCTATTCCAGGAAAAAAGTCATTGAAGAGCAGTGGAGATTTTGTTCTTTACGTATGATACAGAGCAAAAGGCTAACAGTTAATTATAGCAAAGAAAATGAGGAAAAATGTTTGGAATTACTGAAATTCTCAAAACACTTAGCTCTGAACAGACCAGAATACATTCGGTAAATTAAATACACTTCAGAAAGCAGCATTTCCTTTTACAGGTTTTAAGAAACACTGTATGAAAAACCAATTGGAGTGTTTATCTCTGAGCAAATCTGAGTAAGGCAACAGGGATTGTGAATTTATTCTCCCTTACTGTATATCTAGAATTTTTAATTATGCAAGGGCTTCACAAAGTATAGACGAATGCTCACAAATTAATTGTCTCCCAATATTTTAATGAAGGCTCCTAGAAATTAATATGACAGAACTAGAAAGGATCTAAAGTACTTCTGACATTGTTTTTTAGAAGGCAATAGAGAATGGTTAATATCAGTGATAGCACATCACTAAATCCATTCAGGAGCAACGGGCTGGAAGGACCCAGCCATCAGAGACTGTACTTGCTCCTCATGCTGACCATTTGCATTAAGTGACAGAAAGGGTTTTGGCCAACACAGAAGCAGCACGGTCAGACCCAAAACTTCAGGAAGAGTTGGTAAATTCAAGTATTCCTAGGAAATTTTAGGAAAAAAAAGTATTTAAGACCAGCACTTCTCAAAGTGTCAGCTTCTCTTCCAGGCTGTAATTCTGCTACTTTAACATTGAGAGCATCACCTCAATATCTGCATTTTATAGCAGCATTTCAAACTATCCCTTTGAAATCACTGTGGAACACAAAATATAACCTTTGGGGAAGAAAAAACCACCCAGCCTCTCAAACTAAATTCAAGGTGCTGGGAAACAGAATGTCACCTGAGATAGGCTTAAAGTCATGCCAAATTTATAGATACAGATCAACCAACCACCCTCAGCTTATCCTCTCAATTTTTTATCAGATGCAACAATAAATGTAGGCAAGTAGAAAAATTCACTGACAAAAATCAAAGCCTACTTCACCAAGTTTTTCACTTCACAAATAATGGTGTCTTGCTCATACAGCTTTATTCTTTATCAACCTTCAAACTACTGGGCATCAGGGTGGCATTTCATGAATAGCAAGTTTTTGAACTCTAAAAAAATTCTGCTCCATGCAAAAATATAGTGCTTATATACAGAAGCAGATCATGATGTTGTACTTGCTCAGGCTGTTAGAATCAACCATGAACACATAAAAAGTTCTAGCTTTGAACCACTGCTATTACGTGAATTACATGCAGGTGCTTGAAAGTCTAAGGAAATATTTTTTATTCCTTAATATTTTACCTAATTTCTTCTCTGGAAGATTCCAGTCATGTGCATCATGGAATCATCTGAAAATGGATGTTCCTGACCTTATACATTGTTATACCAGTAAAATACCAATCAGAAAAAAAAAAATTTTTTGTCAAAAAAAAAAAAAAAAATTAGGCTAAAAGTGACTTACTGGTGTCAGGCAGAAATGTCTTTATATGCTGATGCTGAGTGTCATTTTTTGCATTAGATTTCCGAACACAAAATATCTAAAACGGGACATTTTCCTGTGAAAACCAGCTACCTTCTAACCTTCTCTCCCCATAGAGAATTCAACTTCACTTTTGAGTACCCAGATTCCAGTGATTTCCAGAGACACTGAGGCAACTAAGATACCTACTTAAAACTGAAAACTGGGTACTTTTCCATACCAGTAGGTAGGAATAAATTCTTGTCTTCCACCTGCCTAATAAAGTCCCAGTTTAAGTGTTCCATTTTCTTGTGCCCTCTCCACTTCACTGTTTTCCCCAAATCAAGCTTATGTTGTCGATCCAAATCTACAGACTGGGCTATATCATCAGTATCACACCTATACGAGGTGTTTCTCAATATTTCCTCTTCCTCCTTAATCTTTCATCACACCAGTTCTTGTTGAGAGCCAATTCAAAAATCTACATATTGCTCAGTCTACAACCACACTGACAAAAAGGTGTTCAGCAACACCTTTTCAAATAGCTTATATGAACACATACAGCTAAAAAATACATGAGAAGTATTTAAAGGAAAAGCATAATTTAAAACAAAACCTAAACATTTCAAGTCATCAGACTGTCTGTTGAAATCAACAGAACTAATGCCATTGAAATGAACTTTTTTATCAATATGGGGAGGGAAGACATACAGAGATTGATACTTTTGCTCTAACACATACAGCCCCAGAAAGTGACTTTTTTCGACATCAGCACAGCTCCAGGCATCAGAAGTCTATGACCTCCTCCTAACATAGGCAGGTGATCCCAGATAGTTCCCTCAGGCCCCTAGACGACTACTGAGGCTCCTAGAGAGAAAGCCAGATGGCAAAAGTAATGATGATAAAAGACTAACATACTCGCTTCACTGAGATGAATGGCGGAATGAATGGTGAAATC